GCGGGCCGGGCCGGCGGGTGAGGACGTGGGGCCGCAAGGACGCGGGGTTGGGGGCGGGGGCGGACGGCCGAAGCCTGAGGCCGAGGCCCTGGGCAAGGAGGGCGCTGAGGCCCGCGGCGGCCTGGACGCCTCAGGACTGCGGTCCACCAGAGGAGTCCACTGTCGGGCTCAGAGGCCTGCCAGGGCGGCGGGCCCCGTGCACCGAGGGGCCTGTGTGTGGGGACCCCACCGCTGGAGGCTCGGGGTGCCGTGGGGGGAATCCCGCTGGAGGCCCGGAGGTGGGCGGGGCGGGAGTGCCCGCGTGGAGGCCCCGGGGAGGGTCCCGCTGGGAGGCGCAAGGGTGCCCGGCGGAGGGTCCCTCATGGAGGGCCCCGGGCGAGGTGACCCGGGTAGCGCCCTGCGTGGAGGTCGCGGGGCAAAGAATGCCCCGCGTGTAGATCCAGGTGCGCGGTGAAGGCCAGCGCAGCGCCACAGGTGGAGCTCCCCAGACGTGTGGCCACGCCCTTCTTGGCTTTCCTTAAATTGTATCTTAGAGGTGGGATTCCGGTGTTCGATATTACTATTTGTACTCCACCAAGTTGTAGAGATAGTCCTAAGGTAGTGGGGAGGCTTCTAAAGGAAAACCGTGAAAATTGGGACCAGTCTTCATGTACCTTGGTGGCAGCAGCTTCTGCCGCTTTCATAGTCAATAATGGCTGTGAAAAACAAATTAAAACAAGGCGTGTTGGAGGAAATAATGGCCATCCATAGTGTGAAGAAAGGGTGGCAAGATTTAAAACCCAGGGCGAAATCTTAAAAGGGTGGTTTTTCTCACTACGTTTGTTTTGTTTCCATGAGGTAGTTTTGGCTGGAGCGCTGTGGAAATGTTTGATAACCATCAGGTGACATTGGGTTAGAGTGCTGGTTGTGTGTAGACTGCATTACAACAGAGAACACAGATTTTCTCGCTGCCAGAGATGGCAGAAGACTTGAGAGGTAGGCGGGCATGGAGTAACCTTTACTTGGAGGCCAAATAGAATTTTAATGTTCTGCGTCTACAGTTTTTTGAAACGTTTTCCTGAGTCCTGTACACCAGAAGACGTAATTGTGTGTTCAGGTTGTGAAGCACTTCGTACCTGTTCTTTGTTTGGTTCTCTCAGAATCTGCAAAGGAGATGTGGCCAGGTGGCAGCGCTTCTTTGTAACGTAGAGGAAGTGGGGTGGGTCACCCATGGCATGCTTCTCTGGTGCCCGTGCTCTGCTGCTCATTCTCACTGTCACTCTGCACTGAGCCATTTGGACTAGAGACCGATGTGCAGCCTCCTGTTTGCTGGACATTTTCATAACAGACCTCCCAAGTTCCTTCAGTGCTAATTCCTTTCCCAAGAAGGAAGTGTACACAACATTAATTTATCTCTGCCTCAGGTTCCTTATCGATAAAATGGGGTTAAAGTCTACCCACCTCACAGGGTTGTGTCAGTAGAAAAGCTCTTAGCAAGATGCCTGGCACACAGTAAGTGCTTAATAAACATTAGCCATTATGTTGCCAGCTGCAAGATGAATCTGAGCTGACAGCTGAGAGAGAAGTAGGCAGCATTTAAGCAGTTGTCCTGCTTGCAGAGAAAGCTGTGAACAGATTGCCAAAGCAGATTGATGCTGGCTAGTTTCACGAAGCCCTTTCAGACCCACGGAGCCCCAGTTTGATCCATAGAAATATGTTCCAAAGCATTCCTTCACCTAAAAGGTGGAAGAATGTGTACACAGCCATCATACTGTTGTAAAAACCTGTGAGGACGTGGACAAGGGTCAGAAGGGAATTTAGAATGATGTAAGTTTTGCTTTAGAGCCATGGTATTGCTTCCCCACTACACCAGTGTTTTCGTTTATAGCCATTTGAAAATTCAGGCAAAAAGGTCCTGTAATGTTGTCCGAGGCAGTGATGACTCTTTCTTCCTCCCACCTCTCCTCAGCTCGACCTCCTCATTTCTTCCCAGCTGGAGCACAGAACTAGGTATGAGATTACACCCAGTCCACGTGCTCTGGCTGACACCCCTCATTGCCCAGCCCCCCACACACACACACAAGCACCCTCAGGGCCCCAGCCACACTCAGCCCTCCCTTCTTGCCTATCAGTCCCATCCGTGCACACACAGCCCCTTGTCCAGCTGGTCTCCTGTCCGACTTATTGCCTGAGAAGCCTCTCTGGGTCCGGCTAGCAGCACCCCCTTCCTCCATGCTACTTGTGGTTTCTGCTCTGTTGCTGCAGTGGGTAGGTGGTATTGGCTACTTACGTAGTTGTCTCCCGTTTTAGAATTTTGTGTGCCCTGTGCTTGGTATCTGGGGTCCCTCAAAGCGGAGAGGAGACAGCACACTGAAATCAGGGAGGGGTTGAGGCCATTTGCAGAGCTGAGTGGCCACCAGCAAGGCACTGACCTTCCTGAGCCCGAGTTGCTGATCTGCGTAGTGGGGATTGTGAGGATTAAATGAGATGATGTGGTCAAGGGCGTGGCATGGCCACCCAGCAGTGGCAGTCACTCAGGACGTGGTGGCTGTTGCATCAGGATCTTCTTTAGTCCTGATGCAGATGCCCTCTTCTTGGTGAGTCTTTCTCACCTCCCTCTCCACCCATCAAATTCCCATCTGCTGTCTTTACTTTCTCCATGGCTCCTACCACCATTTAACATACTGTCTTCCTTGTCTTCTTCCACTAATGGGAGGGATTTTCTGTTTTATAGTCTCCTATCCTTACGTACTTTCACTTGCTTGATACAGACTAGGTGCTCAGTAAATATTTGAATAAATTAATCAAATTACATCTGGGGCAAGGGTGGGTGCCAAGTTTTATGGGGCATGAAACTTACACAACTGGGGGAAGGAGGTTTCTTTATGAAAAGACTACAATGTTACAAATAAAAATCAATTTTGAAAGTGAATATTTAGAATGATAAAAGGAAAACAAGTTACAGGTTTAAAGCAGCTGACCAGTAATATAAACATGAAAAAAATCTAGGAAAGTAGCATATTTGTTAATTCCCTGATGTGTGCTGTAATACTTTTTCTTTGGCTGTGTACTTTTTAATAACCTTTACATGTGATAGAGAATAGAAAGAATTGAGTGATTCCTCAGTTTAGTTGGTCAAAAATTTTTATTAATAGGATGCATAGAACAGGATTTCATGTATAGACACATTTGCTGTTTCTAGTACAGCTACAGGTTTGTGTCTTGGAAAGCAGGAGTTCTTTTAAATTCTGTGTTGCACAATTCTATTCAAAATGTAAAAATAAAAACCTATGGTACATTTATAAGTATGCTACATTATCAATTATTTTTCAGACAGGCAAGCACAGCAGTTTTTCAAACTTGTTTCTCTCCCACTGCCCACACACTTCCAGTGCCAAGCGCCATTTGACCCACTCATGGTGCCACAGGCCCCGGCCCTGTCCCTTTGTCTCATAAATGCCTGATGAGCAGGCACAGGGCTATAGCGGTATTCCAGAAAGCCACCCCTACATTGACATGGCTGCTAATAACTTAAGTATACATGGAAAGAACTGCAGACAACATAAATGAATCCCATTAAACCCAAACCAAATGCATCTTTAATTCGTGCCTTTAGCTGGATCCCCAAAACACCGACAGCCCCTTCTAAGCTACCTGACGTAGAGGGAAAGAGGGACAGAGGCAAAGTTGGAGGGGAAAGAAGCAGCAGTCTTCACTGATGGCAGATTTTTTTTTGTAAATTTTACTACGGGCTGTGTGGGACCTTGGAAGGAGCTGGTGCAAGTGGGGGCCCAGACACCAGAGGCAGAATAGCTGCTTTTGCGGGGGCAGTTCTGGCCCTTTGCTGGTTGCCAGGTAACACAATAGAGGCACATGGGGTGAGGGTGCTCAGTGCATCTTCCAGCTGCTAGGGGAAATGTGTTTGGGAAGGAGGAAGCAACAACTAGGTAGTTTTACAAATTGTTTCAATTGCTAGGCTTTAGAGGAGACTCTTCCGACAGTAAACAGCCCACAGCAGTTTGCGTGGCCACCTGAGACACTTTTGGCGGCAGGCAAATAGCCCCAACCTGTGCTGTAGCCTTTCGTAGACAACTCTCCGGTATTTGCGACCCAAGGGAGCAGCAGCTGGCTGCGGTATTCTTAGGGCATTTTGCAGAGTGGCCACAGGCTTGGCACTGGTGCAAGAACTGAATCTGCATTAGCCTTGTGAACTCTACCTGCCCCACTCTAGTGACTCCCGGGGACCCCACCCCTTCCGACTTGCACAGCATCACTGGAGGCACTTTCAACATGGGGCAACCTGGTCCTGGGCCCCTCCAGAGGCTCTCAGCGGCTGAGCCTTATGTGCAGCTGGCAGGTGGCAACAGATAAGCCTAAGGGTGCCCTAGGCCTTTTGCTAAGCTGTCCCAGGCCTGATACTGGTGGCAGCTGGCCTTGGTTCTCAGCGTGGTCACCCCCATGCATCCTCAGGTCCCGCACAGGCACCAGCCAACCACATATAGCTTTGTAGCTCCTACCAGGTAGCTCCAGGCCAGTCACAGGCAAGGCTGAAATTGATCTGCACATGAGCCTCTCCCAAGAGACACGAGAAACAACACTTGAAGGCTGGCTTCAGACCACAGGACAGTACTACTCGGTTAGTCCTACAAGTGGCACACCCAGAGGAGGGGTCTCAACAGGCACAAGAGCCTGTAGAGCGAGTCTCTTTCTGAGGTTATCAGCCCCCACACAGCAGCTCATAAGCTGTGAACTTGGCCAAACCCCACAGCCCGTCAGCCTGAGGGTCAGTCCCACCCACTGACGCACCAATAGCAATCAAGGCTCAACTATAACGGGGCACACACAACCCACGCAAGGGACAATCCTGGAGCACCCGGCACAGGTGACCAGGGAGACTGTGCCAGGGCCCCACAGAACACCTACTACAAGAGGCCACCTGGCCAAGACTAGGAGACATAGGAGATCTACCTAATAAACAGAGTGACAGCCAGAATGGGGAACAAAGAAATGCTTCCCAAATAAAAACAGAACCTCCAGA